TTCACAGCTTCCTGGGGCCGGGCCAGCAAGGATGACTGGGCACAGGCTGGGGGCCCGCTGGGGGCCTGCTCTGCGCGTGCGCCCTGGGAGGCTGTCCCATCAGCTGTGATGCTCCGTCCTGACAGTGAGGACAGCGCTACTCCCACAGCCCGGGGCTAACTTGCCCATATAGGGGCGGCAGGGGCCGCTGGGGGGGCCTTTCCTCATGCACCTTCTTTACAGCCTCTCCAGCCATCTAAGTCAGTGGTTCTCAACCTTCCTAATGTCGTGACCATTTAATACAGCTCCTCATGTTGTGGTGACCCCCAACCATAAAATTATTTTTGTTGCTACTTCATCACTGTAATGTTGCTACTGTTATGAATAGTCATGTAAATATCTGATATGCAGGATGTATTTTCATTGTTACACATTGAACATAATTAAAGCATAGTGATGAATCACAAAAACAATATGTAATTATATATGTATTTTCCGATGGTCTTAGGCGACCCCTGTGAAAGGGTCATTCGACCCCCGAAGGGGTCGCGACCCACGGGTTGAGAACCGCTGATCTAAGTCCATGCCTCATTCTTCACTATGCCCACTCCCCAGGCTGAGAGGTCGCCAAGCTCCACCCGTGCTTCTGACACCCAAGAAGTGTGTCTCCATCTGCCATCCCTACAGCTGAGAAGCAGCCTGGCCAAGGCCAGGGCGGGCGTGGGGAGGCCAGGGGGAGGCTGTGCTGGTCAGCTGGTCAGGCTGGGGGGCCAAGGAGGCAGGGGCAGCGAGGGTGCAGGGGAGGGCCCGTGCCCGAGGGATGGAGTGCGGCTCGCTGTAGGATCGGAGGCTGATGACGGGGAGGGTGGAGGTTCAGGACGCGCTCAGGTTTGCTACTGGACAGCAGTAGCATGTCGAGGAGGAGCATGTGGGACAGGTGGGATGTGAGGTATCTGTGGAGCCGGAAGCTTGACAGACAAGTCTGGCTGGAGCTGGGGATGGTGCTGGGGATGGTGCTGGGGATGGTGCTGGTGTTGGTGCTGGTGCTGGTGCTGGTGCTGGTGCTGGTTCTGGTGCTGGTTCTGGTGCGGGGGCTGGACCTGAGGCAGGAGCTGGGGCTGGAGCTGGAGCAGGGGGTGGAGGGGGCTGGGGCACCCCCATCACCCCCGCTACTGCTGCTGGTGCTGGTGCTGGTGCTGCTGCTGGTTCTGGTGCTGGTTCTGGTGCGGGGGCTGGACCTGAGGCAGGAGCTGGGGCTGGAGCTGGAGCAGGAGGTGGAGCTGGGGCTGGGGCTGGAGCTGGGGCTGGAGCTAAAGCTGGAGCTGGAGCAGGAGCTGGGGCTGGAGCTGGAGCTGGAGCTGGAGCTGGGGCTGGAGCTGGAGCTGGGGCTGGAGCTGGTGCTGGTGCTGGAGCTGGTGCTGGAGCTGGGGCTGGTGCTGGGGTTGGAGCTGGTGCTGGGGCTGGAGCTGGTGCTGGAGCTGGTGCTGGAGCTGAAGCTGGTGCTGGAGCTGGAGCTGGTGCTGGTGCTGGTGCTGGAGCTGGAGCTGGGGCTGGTGCTGGTGCTGCTGCTGGAGCTGGGGCTGGTGATGCTGGTGCTGGAGCTGGTGCTGGAGCTGAAGCTGGTGCTGGAGCTGGAGCTGGGGCTGGAGCTGGAGATGTTGGAGCCGTGGGCTGACGCGATTCCTCAGGAAGGATGTGCAGAACAGGGCTTCTCACCTGTTTTTAAGGCCACACGCTGTCAGTTAAAATAACTGTTGAGTTTTACTTTCCATGGTTTGTATCACAAACAGAAAAATGAGATAGTAACCAACACTGAGTAGTTATATATACAAATACTGTGTTTTTTAAAAAAATACATATTTTTATTGATTTCAGAGAGGCAGGTAGAGGGAGAGAGAGATAGAAACATGAATGGTGAGAGAGTCATTGATCGGCTGCCTCCTCCACGCCCCATACTGGGGGTCGAGCCCACAACCCGGGCATGTGCCTGACTGTGACCAGGAATCGCACCATGGCCTCCTGGTTCATAGGTAAATGCTCAACCACTGAGCCACGCTGGCCAGGCCATCCTATGCTACTGATTGTGTCTGTTTTGTTCTCTGCCACCCCCTCACTGCCTGGCTCCTGTCTGCTACTGATGGGCTCTTAACAAACACTGGTAGAGGGATGGAGGGAAGGAGGGACGAGGGAAGGAGGGAAGGAGGGAGGGGGGGGGATGGAAGCAAGGAAGGGGGATTGCTTTCTCCCTGTGGGGCTGAGCCTGTGGCCCACAAAGCCCTGAGCTTCGTCTTTTCTGTGTAAAGATGAACTTGGAAGCCACCCAACCCTCTTCTGCACTCCCATGTCCTCAGCAAGACTCTCACCCGCGACTGGCCACACGAGTGTCCTCGGGGAGCAGACGTGGGTGGAGGAGCCCTTGTGCGCAGCAGAGGAGACAGGGCGGCGCTGCTCTCCTGAGTGCCCGTGGGCGGGGGCAGTGGGCACAGCAGCTCCATAAAGGCTCCCTGGCCAGAGCCCGGGGGCAGAGCGCCTCTACCCCTTCACCCCCTGAAGGGCCCAGGATGGCGCTGGCCCTGTGGATCTCTGGCCTGCTGGCCTCCGCCTGCCTGGTGTCAGCCAACATCTTTGGTGAGTTCCCCCCCCAAGGCCATGGAGCAGCAGGAGGAGGCCAGAGCCCCTCAGCCAGCCAGGCTCTGCCCCAGGGCCTTTGCACATCCTTGGTCTCATTAATCCCTGCAGTGTCCCCAGGTCACTTATTTGCTTTTTCCTTTCTAGATGAAGAGACAGAGGTTCTGAGAGGAGGTCTCAACTGTCTAAGGCAGTGATGGTGAACCTTTTGAGCTCGGCGTGTCAGCATTTTGAAAAACCCTAACTTAACTCTGGTGCTGTGTCACATATAGAAAATTTTTGATATTTGCAACCATAGGAAAACAAAGATTTATATTTTTGATATTTATTTTATATATTTAAATGCCATTTAACAAAGAAAAATCAACCAAAAAAATGAGTTCGTGTGTCACCTCTGACACGCGTGTCATAGGTTCGCCATCACTGGTCTAAGGTCACTTAGCTCGTGATTGGTGCACAGGAGATGGGAAACACCATCTTCCTAATGTCATTCTAATTCCCCACACCCCGTTCTATTAGCGAATTTTGAAAAAATATATTTTTATGATTTCAGAGAGGAAGGGAGAGGGAGACAGAGATAGAAATATCAAGGGTGAGTGAGAATCATGGATCGGCTGCCTCCTGCACGCCCTACACCGTGGATCGAGCTTGCAACCCAGGCCTGTGCCCTGACCAGGAATGGAACCATGACCTCCTGGTTCATAGGCTGATGCTCAGCCCCTGAGCCACGCCGGCCGGGCCGCTGTTAGCAAGCTTTCGATAGGGACAGCATTTTATTTCTTAGCTGTCTCGAGGCCCGTGGTTCATAGGCTGATGCTCAGCCCCTGAGCCACTCCGGCCAGGCCGCTGTTAGCAAGCTTTCGACAGGGACAGCGTTTTATTTCTTAACTGTCTCGAGGCCCAGGTCATCAGGTGTGGGGCAGTCAGCAGGTAGTGTGAAACCTACCCGTGGGGGCATGCACCCGCGTCCTGGGCGCAGCGCCACTTCCTGTGTGACTTCCACGGTTTGCCCTGAACCCTTCTCTCGGCAGCTGTGTGGCCCTGAGCAGGTCCTTTCCCCTCCTGGTCTCAGTGTCACGTGGACAGAATGGAGATCCACCCCCCCTCCGCCCCTCCCAGGTTTTTGTTGAGAATTAAATGAGCTCCTGTCATACGTGGAAAAGTGTGATCAGTTGAAACATTGTGGGTTGGGACCTCATGGTTGGTGGTGATGCCAGAAATAAGACCCTGTGCCTACGGACCCGTCCTGGTTCCGGGGTCCAGGCCACATACTGATGTGCCCTCTCTGCAGAGTACCAGGTGGACGCCCAGCCGCTCCGTCCCTGCGAGCTGCAGAGGGCCAGGGCCTCCGGGGAGCGAGCCAGCCACGTGCCCCAGTGCGCCGAGGACGGCAGCTTCCAGTAAGGGCTCCCTCCCTCGCCACGTGGACGCGCAGGGTCCGAAGGGCCTTAAAAACCACCTCGTCCTCCCCCTGGGGCTAGAACAGGGGTGACGAGGCTGCAGGGGTCAGCGAGCCAGGAGAGGAGAGCTTGCAGTCCCATCACCCCCCACCCCCGCTCCCTCCTCACCCCCACTCCCTTTCTCCCTCATCACACACCTCACAGCCAGGGAGAGGGGAGGTCGAGGGCAGGGAGCTGGGCGCGGCTTCGGGAGCCCTCATGTGTCCACGCCGGTGTCTCCCGCCTCAGGACCGTCCAGTGCCGGAGTGACGGCTACTCCTGCTGGTGTGTGAGCGCCGACGGCAGGGAGGTGGCTGGCAGCAGGCAGCCCGGGCGGCCCATGGCGTGTAAGTGTGCAAGGGGGTGACGGGGTGTCCCATGGGAGGGGGGCTGGCTAGGGCCACACACACCTGGGAAAGCTCTGGGCGTGGCACGTGACCAGGCCCGTGTCCCTCTGGGCTGCTGGTGCTCCTGGCGTGAGGCCGACAGTCCTGCACGCCGGGCCCGTGTCCCGCAGGGCCCCTGTGCAATCATGTGGGACCATCAAGGCACTTGGTGAGCAAGTGGGTGCTGAGTCCCCCTGTGCCAGGGCCTGGGCCTCGGTCCCGCTGTGAGCAGACATTCCAGGCTGTGACCCCGAGAGCAGCTTGGGCAGCCCAAACGTGCCTCACTGAGTGTTTCTGAGATTTGAGGCTTGGGGAACAGCTTCCCTGTTAAAATAGCGACTATGATGAGAACTCAAATTAACAGCCCCTGTTTGGGGCATGACTGAGGTAAGCCTAAAACAAGGATCAGCTTAAGCTGGCCACATTTAGTTAGTTGGTTAGTTAGTCCTCACCCGAGGATATTTTTCCGTTGATTTTTAGAGAGAGTAGAAGGAAGGGGGAGAGACAGAGAGAAACATCGATGTGAGAGCGACACATTGATGGGTTGCCTCCTGCACACACCCTGATCAGGGCTGGGATCGAGCCTGCGACCCAGGTACGTGCCCTTGACTGGAACTGACCCACAACCCTTCATCTCATGGGCTGATGCTTTATCCACTGAGCCAAAACAGCTAGGGTTTTTTTTTCTTTAAATTTAATTAAACAGTTTTTTTAGGTCATCTTTAAACGGTGAGATTGAGTCTAGGACCAGCGATCCTGTCGAGGAGGAGAGCTGGGACTTGGGCGCTGGCCTTTCGGGGCTGGCCCGCTGGCTGGGGAGCAGGCTGGCTCCTGACACTCCCTGGATGACACTGGCCAAGCCCCAGGCCCCACGCCCCACGGTGCTGCGGCTCCTCGTCTGTACCGGGAACAGGATTAGCCTCACGGGTGTGGGAGGGTTAACACACGTGTACAACCCCTGGCGCACTGGGGTGTTCGGTGGGGGCAGCCATCATCTGTCACTCCTCCTCCTCTCGCCGAGGAAGGCACATGGACTTTCTGATAAGTCTATCGATGAGGAGAGGGAGGCACAGAGTGGGAAGCGACTGCCCCCAGGCTGCACAGCAAGCCCGCGGGGCAATTTGGAGGGAGACAAGCTCTGTTCACAGCCAGGCCTGTACCCCATCCACACCCACCTCTGCAGCACCAGGCGGCGGGGTGTCGGGGAGACCGACGGGCAGGGGGCAGCCTGCCCTTCCCGGCCTCGGCCGCAGGATGCTGGAAGGAATCCCGGGGTAGAGGCGGACACGCTGGCCCTGAGCCTGCCCCCAGTGTGCTGAGCATCCACGGCCTGTGCAACCTCTCGGGAGGCCGGGAAGTCCGGGCTGAGATCTGACGCTGCCCCTCACCCACAGGCCTGTCCTTCTGCCAGCTGCACCGGCAGCAGGTCTTGCTGAGCGGCTACCTCAACGGCACGACCGCCTCCTACCTCCCTCAGTGCCAGGATTCGGGGGAGTACGCACCGGTGCAGTGTGACGTGCGGCGGGAGCAGTGCTGGTGTGTGGACACGGAGGGCATGGAGGTGTACGGGACCCGCCAGCGGGGCAGGCCCACGAGATGTAAGTCCCCAAGCTCCCCGGGGAAGGGGTGTGCTCTCCCCACGGGACAAGGGCAGAGGGCCCGGCCCTCGGTGCAGAGATGAAAGCCTTTAGGGAAGATCTTATGACTTCTTTTAAAAAAAAAAGTCTAATGGCCTTTATTTATTATTATTATCTTTTAAAATCTTTATTGTTGAAAGTATTACATATGCCTCCTCTCCCTCCACCCCTATTGACCCTTTCTAGCCTGCCCTGCCCCCGCCCCAGGCCTTCACCACCCTATTGTCTGTGTCCGTGGGCTCTGCATGTAAACATCCAAGGTTTTTGGTTGATCACTTCCCACCCAAACACCTTCGCCACCTTCCCTTTGAGGTTCGAGTCTGTTCCACGCTTATATTTTTTATTTTGTTAAAATACGTTTTTATTGATTTGTATAGAGAGAAGAAGGGAGAGGGTTAGAGAGACAGAAACAACGATGAGAGAGCAACATCATCGGCTGCCTCCTGCACATCCCCCACTGGGGATCGAGCCGCAACCTGGGCACGTGCCCTGCCTGGGGGTGGAACCAGCCACTTCTTGGTTTCTAGGTTGATGCTCAACCGTGGAGCCCATCAGCCGGGCCCTGCTGATTCTGTCTAATGCAGTGGTTCTCAACCTGTGGGTCGCGACCCCTTTGGCCGTCGAACGACCCTTTCACAGGGGTTGCCTAAGACCCTCCTACATATCAGATATTTACATGACGATTCGTCACAGTAGCCACATTACAGTTATGAAGTAGCAACGAAAATAATGTTATGGTTGGGTCACCACATGAGGAGCTGTATTTAAAGGGCCAGCAGGCTGAGAACCACTGGTCTAACGTTTCACGTGGTGGTGGGGGATCAGTACTCGCCGGCTGGTGCTCAGGAACATCGCAGGATCTCGGTGACCTGGGCCCCTGTCTGGGTCTCAGCTGTCACGCGGGTGCGTGACTCGGCCTGTGGACTGCAGAAGCACATGCACCTGTTCATACAGGAGACGTGAGCATTTCTCCTTGGAAACGTCTAGGTCCCAGGAGCTGTGAGATCCGGAACCGCCGCCTTCTGCACGGAGTGGGGGACAAGTCGCCCCCCCAGTGCTCTCCGGACGGCGGGTTTCTGCCCGTGCAGTGCAAGTTTGTCAACACCACGGACATGATGGTCTTCGACCTGGTCCACGGTTACAACAGGTAAGGGGAGCCGGCCTCGGGCGCGCCCGTCCCTCATCTGGGGGCCGGTGCTGTGAGGTGTCATGCACTCGGCCTGGTGGGGATCAGAGAGGCAGGCCGGGCTTCCTGTGCGGCGGAAGGACATCTGAAGGGCGGCCGCATTGTGGACAAAGCACGCTGACAGCCGCTATGCCAATTAAAATGCATGAACCCTCGGGCCCAGCCAGCCGGCGGGAGTAAAAACGCCGGAAGGTGAGGACACAGGTACTAGGAGGTCTCCTGCATCGGTTTCCATCGGAGCAGAAACCTGGGAACCAAGTGACTGAGACCCCCGCGGTCCCCACCGTAAATGTTTATGTGGCGTTGAGCAGAACGCATCGGAACTGCGCCAGCTCAAGGGTTGAGGGTTCTGCAGCGTAGCATGCGCAGCTACAAGGTACAGGGTACGGATAGCAGGGTAGGACTTAGTATTTATTTATTTATTTATTTATTTAATTTTTTTTTTAATTGATTTCAGAGATGAAGGGAGAGAGAGAGAGAGAGAAACATCAACGAAGAGAGAGAATCATTGACCGGCTGCCTCCTGCACACCCCCTACTGGGGATGGAGCCCGCAACCCGGTCGTGCGCCCTGACCTGGAACCGAACTGTGACGTACGTCCTGGTTCACAGGTCCACGCTCCACCACTGAGTCGCTGACCAGGCTGATTCAGTTTTTAGAAAACACACCAGCAAACGGGTCCTTTCGTGGGCACATCTGCATGGATGGTTATCCTGTGGCTGTGGAGCACAGGCAGTGCTGTGAATGGGCGCGAGCCGGGTGGGGACACAGGCAGGCGGGCTGGGCTCCTGTGGGGAGGGATCAGCAGCAGCGGCAGACGGCGCTGTGAGAAGCACGGGCACGGTCATGTCTGTGCTTTTCTGGGAATTGTCTATCCATGTGCTTACAAGTAAGTCTGGAGATGTAAACAGCAAACCTCAAAAGGGAGGCGCAGGGTGGATCTCGGCCAAGTCATCAGATCACCTCCCCATTCTTGTGAAGGCCCCGGGGCAGGGGGGTGGGGGTGGGGGGGCGGAGAGGGGGGAGAGTTGGGCCCTTCTGAATGCCGCCGACCCTCCTTATCCGCAGCTTTGCTTTCTGAGGTTTCAGTTACTCGAGGTCCGCCCTGGCCAGTTTTGCTCAGTGGGTAGAGCGTGGGCACATGGACTGAAGGGTCTTGGGTTCAATTCTGGGCAAGGGCACATACCTCGGTGGCAGGCTCCATGGGGAGGCAACCAATCAATGTGTCTCTCTCACATGGATGTTTCTCTCTGTGTGTCTCTCCCCCTCCCTTCCACTCTTTCTAAAAATCAATGGAAAAATATCCTCAGGGGAGCATTAACACAAAACAAAACAATAACTCTAGGTCCACCACAGTCCAAAAAATATGAAATGTCAACAATTCACACGTTGCAAATTGCACGGCGCTCTGGGTCCCGTGAGGAAGTCTCGCAGTCCACTCGGACGTGACTCAGCCCTGCGTCCAGGGTCACCGTTGCTGCTCTGCCCGCGGGCACCTAGGAGCCACAGTAGCTATCAGATCGATACCCTGTCGTGGTGTCCTGGTGGCTGGTGGCAAGTCGCCCCGATTTTATTTATTAACGGTACCAAAGCGCAAGAGCAGTGATGCTGGCGGTCCAGGCCCGCCCCGGAGAGGCCGGCAAGGTCTCCCTTAAACAAGAAGGTGAGCGCCGTCCAGGTAGACGCCCACAGGGCCTTGACCGCAGTGTATCCGTACAGTTGTCCTACTTCATGACTCGCTGCTTTCTGTGCCTCTCTTTCTGTGCCTGCTTCAGCATTTAAACTTTATCACAGGTGTGTCTGTGTAGGAAAAAGCAGTCTAAATGGTATAGAGATAGGGTTTGCCGCTCTGTGGTTTCAGGCATCCCCTGAGGGTCTTGGGACGTAGCCCCCAGGGATCAGGGGGGACTAGAGTAAAAATAACTGAGCATATTAGGCTGAGAATACTGGTGGGAATTCTCTTGGAGGAGCGAGCCTTTATGTGGCTGTCTCCAAACAGCCCGTTTCTTTCCCTGTGTGAGATGGGGGGGCCTCGGGCTGTGCTGTGGTGGGAGCTGCAGGGTAATTGAAGAACTGGGGAGTTTTAAGTTGAACCCTCAAGTTTCTGTTCGTGTAGGTAAAAATAGCTGAACACCAGCGGTTTCACTTGTTCAACATGACATGCGAAATTCCGAGTTCCTGATTCTGAGGAACAAGGTGGGGGCTGTGTGCGTCCTCCCGCGGCTCCAGGAAACGGGCCGGAAATGCTGCTTTTGGACGGAGCACGCACCCTGCGGTGCTCCCGGTGTTCGCGCTGCCTGCCCCGTCCGTCTGCAATACCTGCCTGGCCCCGTAGCATTGGTCCTGGTGACTCTCATCCGGACTCTGACAGTGTTTGGCAAAGCGACCTAGTCCCTTACCCTCTCTGAGCCTCAGTCTCCCCATCTGTAAAATGGGGACAGCTCCATGCTTCTTAGGGTGTGATGAAGACCCGATGAAACCTCGTCTGTGAAACCACTGTGAAAACTGTAAATATGATGCATTTCTAGGGAATTAATAGTGTATAATCCAACTTCAGCACATGTAGATTAGGTTCCCCCACCCCCACGCAGGCCCAGGGAGTGGCCTGCCTGTGCGCACATAAGCAACTCCACAGAGTCTGATTCAGTGGTGCTCATTGATGCAAACCAGTGCGTGCTCAGTTCAAGTTCAAGTGGGTGCTTGCCTCATACAGGGAATTGACATCCTTCAGCCCACTTTAATCCTTACAAGGAAAATCAGATGGATATTCACGGTCTCTAGCGTACACATGAGGAATTGAAACACCAGAGGTTAAGGAACCCCCTCTAAGAAGCACGGCCAGTCTGGCTTCTTTTACTCTCCCACACAACCTCGATCCATCTATTTCCCCTACAGGGCGTGGCATAGAGCCTGGCACACAGTAGGCCTACAAGGTAGGTTTACACTCCCTCCACCCGAGAACTTTGCTGGTGCCACTTTGAGGCGCAATTCACAGCTCCTTCCACCAGAGGGCAGTCGAGTTAAATGCAAAAGTTGAGGACTAAGCATCCATTGTTTAAGACAAAACAAAATGCACTCCTGAAATGGGATCCTCTTTTTTGTACGCAAGCATATAGTCTCAGAGTGCGTTTGGTTTAGGAAGGTCATGGGAAGGGTCAGGTAGTTGGTTACTGGAAGCCCAGCCATATTCAGGAATTTTCTGATAAGCAACCCTGGGCCCAGCGACTCCCCGGGGCGCAGTGGCAGGAGCCAGGGAGGCCACATGGAAAGTCTAGACTTAGCACCCAGGGTTGCCAGATAAAAAAGCACAGATGGCCAGTTATACCTCAATTCAGATAAGCAGGGGGCGCTTTCTGTCGTAAAATATGCTCCTCCCCACTATTGCACCACGGACTTTGAGCCTGGGGTGGCGGGTGGGAATATCTTAATAACCATCGTAGTTGGACTTAGAAAAGAATGGACTGGGGTTGGGGCAAAGCAGAGTGGGTGCTGGGAGGCGACTCTGGGAGTTTGGGGGCTCGGGGACTGGACCAGGAGAGAGGGGATGACTTGGGCTAGAGTGGCTGACGGAGAGGAGAGTGGAGAGACATAGCGCGTTTGGAGGAGTGTTTGCTAGGTGAAATCCACAGGACTTGGTGGAGGAAGAGAGAGGGAGGGCGAGGGAGAGGGAGAGTGTAGGGTGAGTTTGGCTTTTCTTGGGGTGGCAGAGGAAGGTGGAGGATCAGTGAGAGGGAGGTGAACGCGTGGCCGAGGCCCTCGGGCCCTGGGTGGGATGAAGATGGCTCAAAGACCCTGCCAATGACAATGGCAGAAGCAGCCAATAAACAAGCTTGGTGACGATGATTGTGCTGGGGGAGGAGTCCCACATTCACAGATGGTGGTACCGGTTCTGATATCCAGTTGCCTATCCAATTGGATTTCAGGAGAAGGAACTCAGGGAAGGTTCAGAGCTTGCACTTTCTTGAACTTATATTCGGACACGAATGCAGAGCAGGCAGGGCGCCCTCAGGACCCTGACCTGTCGCAGTGGCAGCTCTCCATCCTCCGCGCTGCCGTTGTCGAACAAGTTTAGCAGTGGACGAGGGTCCCTGGCCCCTGGTCGTGGCCGGGTGACCTTGAACCGATCCTTCTTTACTCTGAATCCCAATATCCTCGCGTATGAGCAAGTTGATATATTTGACATTTTGCAGATCATCTTTTACAGAGCAGTGGCTGAATGAACGGAAGTCATGCTTATGCTACGAAAAGCCCTTTGAGAATGGAATCATCCCAGGTTCCAAAGAATGAGCTTTTATTCTACACCTCCAGCTGGGCAAAATGAGCGTTCAGTTTCTATTAAGCATTACTCACGAACTGTAGCAGTCCTTTGTCTGTAACTTCTGTCTGTGATGTCTATAACGCACGCACAATCATAGACCAACAACATGGAGCAAGTCCATAATTCTGTAGCACTTTCCTAGGCTCTTTTTGCATATTCATATCCACTCAAATTAACGTTCAGGCTGCGAGCAGATTCTGCACAATACATCGCCTCCCAGGCCTGGTTCAGTTACATGCCTGTCCCAGCGGGTGTATGTACAGGCCATTGCACACTCTACCCTTTTCACACGATGTTCCGTACACGTCCATCGAGGGGGTTTACTCCGATTTACTCTTCATTTTCCTATCCCCGGGCACGGATGTGGCTCCAGTAGATTGCCAGGCTGATGCCACAGCCGCAGACTCTGGGTGCTGACGGTTTGGGGATAGATCCCCAGACACAGGTGGAAGCACATCAGGCTCAGGCCTTGGGGACCCGCTCCCTGGGGCGTAAGACGAACCCCTCAGCATTGCCTAAAGCAGCAGCAAGCCCTCCGGTTGCTAAGTCACTGACTATGGGAAGGACGCCTGCCTGTGGCTTTGCATCACCGGCGTCTCAGATGACGTCCCGGTGGGAACGCAGCCGGTTAGCCCCGTAGCAGTTGCCAGGTCAGACGTGAGTTACGTACGCTTTTCCTCAGCCTTCGGAAAGGGTCGGCTCGCCCTCGTGAGTGATGTCATATTGATTTTGCGTTTTTGCAAGCTGGGGGCCTGGGAAATGTCCTACTCAGGAACTTCCTGTGGGGGGATCTGGCTCCCTGACAAGCTCTCAACAGACCCTGAAGGCCCCGAAGCTGTTTGATCTCCCAGATGAGGTCATCGCCCTGTGCCACACGTGTGCACGGCAGCTGGGCCTTGCGCCTCCAGAGTCACGTTCTAGGAGGGGACGCGTTCAGGCCACGTGCATTACCTGTGTTCCTCCCGATGCTGCGAGACACGGGCTCGGGTGTAAATCGGTCGAGTGCCACGAGTGAGGAAGACGGCCAGTGGGTAGAGGACAGCTAGGCACAGCTCAGGCCGGTAACACCGATTTAGGAAAGACTCACAATCCCCGCAGGAAGCCCGGAGCCGCTGGCACTAGATGAATGGTCAGAGGTGCCTTTTCCCACATCTGTTCGCCATGGGTTGCCTTTTAAGAAATGGTGACTGTCCATGTCCTACCCCTTCAGGTTTCCAGACGCTTTCCTGACGTTCAGTGCCTTCCGGAGAAGGTTCCCGGAGGTGTCCGGGTACTGTTACTGCGTGGACAGTCAAGGGCGGGAACTGGCTGAGACAGGTGAGCGCGCCTCAGGCCATCCCAGGGGAGGGTGGCATCGCCAGGTCTGAGGGCCGCCACCTCAATACCGGCAGAGCGGAGGGAGCCGTGCGGCCTGTGCCCTGGACAGGCTGTCCTGTGTCTGAGGGGCATGGCTAGCAATTCCAGCATGGTGCTCTGAGCACGGCTGCTCTGGCCCGCGGGGCCCCTTTGTGGGCACGGGAGAGGCGCCCCCTCCTGGCAGAGGCAGCTCTGCGTGGGGCCAGTGGAGGAGCAGATGGGCTCCGTCTCCTCTCTCGCATCAAGCTCCGTGGGTGTGAGCAGCCTGCACAGTGGTACCCACAGCCCTAGCTTAGGAACCAGTAAGGGCTGGTTCAGGTCTCATGCCCACTTGATGCCGGTGAAGGCTCTAGTCTGGTCCTCTTTTTTTTTTTTTTAAATCCTCACCTGGATTTTAGAGAGAGTGGAAGGGAGGGAGAGGAGGGGGAGAAAGAAACACCCATCCATTGGTTGCCTCCCGCGTGGGCCTGACCGGGCAGGCCAAGGATCGGGCCTGTAACTCAAGGTATGTGCCCTTGACCGGGAATCGAACTTGCGACCCTTCGGTCTGCAGATGACTCTCTAACCACTGAGCAACCGGCCAGGGCAGCTCTGGTCCTCTTCCTACCCATGTACGTAGCGAGATCAGGACCCCCTTTGGGGAGGAAGCTGCACCTTGACACTGTCTCTGCTCAGGTCTGGAGCTGCTGCTCGATGACATTTACGACACCATTTTCGCCGGGCTGGCCCTCGCGCCCACCTTCACGGACACCACCCTGTACCGGATCCTGCAGAGGCGCTTCCTCGCCCTTCAGCTCGTTCTTTCCGGCAGGTTCCGATGTGAGTCACCAGCAAGCGACAGATGCCCCTGCTGCTGCCGGGAGGGAAGCTCTGGGGTCTGCAAGTGGCTGTGGTCCCCATGGCTGCAATTTCTGTGGCTGTGCTCCCTGTGGCTGAGGTCTCCGTGGCTGTGGCCCCTGTGGCTGAGGTCCCTGTGGCTGCAGTTTCTGTGGCTGTGGTACCTGTGGCTGTGGTCCCTGTGGCTGAGGTATCCATGGCTGTGGTCTTCATGGCTGTAGTCACATGGTTGTTCCTGCAGAGTATGGGGGGCGTGAATGTCACCAGCAAGCAGAATGCGTGCTGTGCGCCCACCAGGGGCTGTTGCCTGTCTTCTCTCTCCCCCATGGATTTCCTCCAGGCCCCACGAAGTGTGAAGTGTAGCGGTTCACAGCGAACGACTTCGGTCACGCCTACGTCCCAAGCTGCCACCGAAATGGGGACTTCGAGGCGGTGCAGTGCCAGAGGGGAGGCCCGTGCTGGTGTGCAGATGCCCAGGGCAAGGAGGTCGTGGGGACTCGGCGGCAGGACGCGGCGCTGCCTTGCGGTGGGTCTCCCATCGAGGGTGTCCTATTGGGGTCTCCTCAGGTCCTACTATTTTGTTTCTCCAGACCACCCACTCCAGGACGTAACTGAGACACTGGAATTCGAATTTAAACTAACTCTTCTAAACATGATTGCAGTCATCCTAGGATATTCAGATAGAATGACCCGGCCACGCACGGTGTTGACTGAGTTGATCACTATTTAATGAGTAATTTCAAAGGAAGGTCAAGAAACCTAGAAGAAGGTGTGCGAAGTGGGTTTACCAATCGTGCATCGTTCTATTACATTACAGGACCGATCATCTCTCCTATGACATAGCATAACAGTACATATTGCAGCACAGAAAGATGTTTATTGTAGGAAATACTAACAGCACTTACATAGGCTTTTTATCCTCAAAGAGACTATACACTAGCCAGCCGAGACGAGGCTACCCACAAAGAAGAATTAGGCGGCCACACGAAGAGCAGATAATGAAGCACTCAGTCCACGCAGGGTTCCAGCGGGAGTGTGCCGGAAACCGGCTGCATTAAAAATAGGAATTGGTTGGTGTACCTGCCGCCTAGGGCTGCTGCCCCCAAAGACCACGCACTGGGTGGCTTAAACAACAGACACTTACTCTCTCTCAGTCCTGGAGGCTGGGTGGCAGGGCTGCGCTCTCGCTAACGGTGCCCAGGAAGCATCCTTCCTGCCCCGTCCTTGTGAGGCCTCGGCCCCAGCCGGCCGCACTCTCCCAGTCTCTGCCCTCGCGTGGCTTCTTCCTGTGTGTCTGTCCATCTCATCACGTGTCCTCTGGGCAGGACTCCAGCCATTGATGCAGGGCCCTCTCTAATCCTGTAAGACTTCATCTTGACTAGTCATATCCCCAACACCCTCTCTCCCCACGAGATCAAGTTCCAAGGCCCCAGGTGGACGTGAATGAGGGGCGAGGGAGGAGGGAGACGTTCCAGCCCAGGATGCTGGTGCACGTGTGCGGCGGGTTTTCGGTGGTGATGCTAACCCCGTTTCCTCTGCTCGCCCTGTGCAGCTGGCGCCGGGTCCTGCTCCTCCGAGAGGCGGCGCGCCCTGTCCAGGCTCCGCTTCGGGCCCTCGGGCGACCTCAGCCTCCGGGGCTCCTTCGTGACCCCCCGGAGAGGAGCTGGAGGGGCCCCGCCCTGCCCGCCCACCATCAAGCAGCTCTTTGTGGACTCGGGGATCCTCCGCTCCCTCATCAAGGGCCAGAAACCACCGTTTCCCGCCGCAGGGAGTCTCCTCCCAGAAGCCATCCGAGGGCTTTTCCCCTCCCGCGAGCTGGCTCATCTTGCCCTTCAGTTTACCGCCAACCCAAAGCGCCTGCAGCAGAACCTCTTTGGGGGGAGATTTTTGGCGAACGTCGGCCAGTTTAACTTGTCGGGAGCCCTTGGCACAAGAGGCAGCTTTAACTTCAGTCAGTTTTTCCAGCGACTCGGCCTCCCAGGCTTCCAGGGTGGAGGAGGACTTGTCAATCAAGCCAAACTCCTCTCTGCGGGACTGGATTCGAATCCTGCTGTGGAAACACCCGGAGCCGCGAAGGAAGGCAGGGCTATGAATAAGACAATTGTGGGCAGCTTTGGCTTTGAGGTCAACGTGCAAGAGAACCAAAACGCCCTGAAATCCCTCGCTTCTCTCCTGGACCTTCCGGAATTCCTTCTGTTCCTGCAGCACGCGGTGTCCGTGCCGGAAGACATAGCCAGGGATTTGGGTGATGTGATGGGAATGGTGCTCAACTCCCAGGGCTGTGAGGCAACACCCGGCAGCCTTTTTGTCCCGTCATGCACGGCAGAAGGAAGCTATGAGGATGTCCAGTGCTTTGCCGGAGAGTGCTGGTGTGTGGACTCCCAGGGCAAAGAGCTGCCCAGCTCCAGGGTGAGAGGCGGACGGCCACGGTGCCCCACAGCGTGTGAGAAGCAAAGGGCTCGGCGGCTCAGCCTCGCGGGCAGCCAGCCCGCAGGCTCCAGTCTGTCCATGCCTTCCTGTACCCGCCAGGGCCACTTCTTACCCATTCAGTGCTTCGACTCCGAATGCCACTGTGTGGACGAGGAGGGTCAGGCCATTCCTGGAACTCAAAGCGCACCTGGGCGACCCCAGCAGTGTAAGTCTGTCGGGTGTTCCGTCTATAATCTCCGGTTCTCTCTGGGGGCCCTGACACAGTGCATTGCAGAAAAAAGAATGCAATCACAGCAAAGCCTCACACTTCTGTTAGAGGCCAAATTTTCTGGTTAATTTAAAAATTGTCCGGAAAACTCTGTTGTTGTTTAAATATATATTTTTACTGATTTGAGAGAAGGAGAGAAAGATAGGAGCATCAATGTTGAGAGAGAATCACTGATCGGCTGCCTCCTGCTCACCCCACACTGGGGATCAAGCCCACAACCCAGACATGTGCCCTGACTGGGAATCGAACCGTGACCTCCTGGTTCATAAGATCGATGCTCAACCACTGAGACCAGCCGGCCGGGCCAGAAAACTCTTGATAACATTAACCAATTAGCTGAATAGGAAGACTTCCTTGGCTGTAAGGAATTGCCCCATAGCTGTCTCCAGTGTTGACAACAGCTGGTCTCCACAGTCCCCGAGCAGTGATGGGGGTGCTCTCTGTCCACCAGTGGTGGGACCTGTGGCCGTGTAAGGGCTCAGATGGAGTTTGGACACTTAAGGGCTCTGCCTTGGTCTCCTGTGCTGACCAAGTCCCTTCGCCTGACACTGTGCTCCTTGTTCCTCCCCAGGCCCCACACCCTGTCAGCTGCGGGCCGAGCGCGCCTTCCTCGGGGCCGTGCGGACCCTGGTCTCCAACTCCAGCCTGCCGCCCGCCCTCTCCAGCGTCTACATCCCGCAGTGCAGCGCCCGCGGGCGGTGGAGTCCCGTGCAGTGTGACGGGCCCCCGGAGCAGGCCTTCGAGTGGTACGAACGGTGGAGGGCCCAGGACAGCGGTGGCCTGGAGCTGACGGCGGCTGAACTACTCACGAAGGTCCTGAGCTACAGGGACGCAGCCTCTGGCAGCTTCCGTCGCTTCCTGCAAAGTCTGTACGAGGCCGGCCAGCAGGGCGTCTTCCCCGGGCTGGCCAGGTACTCCTCTCTCGGCGAGGTCCCACCGGCCGTGCTGGATGGGAACCGGACCCGGCCCGGGGGCAACGTCCTCCTGGAGCCCTACCTCTTCTGGCAGATCCTACGCGGCCAGCTCCGCCGGTACCCAGGGCCCTACTCGGACTTCAGCGCCCCGTTGGCGCACTTGGACCTGCGGACCTGCTGGTGTGTGGACGAAGCCGGTCAAGAGCGGGAGGGCACCCGGACCGAGCCGGGTGAGGTCCCCACATGTGAGTTCAACCCTGGGAGGAACTGAATTTGTACTTTTAAAAATATATATATATATTTTTATTGATTTTAGAGAGAGAAAGGGAGAGGGAGAGAATGACAGAAACATCAACGATGAGAAAGAATCATTGACTGGCTGCCTCCTGCAAGCCCCACACTGGGGATCAAGCCTGCGACCGAGGCATATGCCCTTGACTGGAATTGAACCCAGGACCCTTTAGTGCTCAGGCCGACGCTCTACCCACTGAGCCAAACAGGCAAGGGCCAACCAACTCCTCTTATGATGGACTTGTTACTTACAAGGACACTGCTGGGTGCTCGGGACCTCAGCAGGTGCCTCCGCCTTCCAGCGCTTTAAATGGGCTTGAGGGAGTGAACGAGAGGACCGATAGGAGAGCTGCCGACCGAGGTCTGTAGGTCCAGGCTGACGACAGGGCCCTGGGAGAGAGCTGCCTGCCGTGTGTGAGGCACAAGCAGAACGAGGCTGAGTCAGTGTCAAACCCAAAGGCCTTTCGCCCGATGGACCTGCCAGCAGCGGCTGGAGGCAACGCCCAGGCAGTTTCATCGCTGCTATTGTCCAAGTGGAATCTCCAGCCAGCCTTGCTGCTGGTACAGGTAGTTCTAGCAGTTCAAGTCCAATCCAGTCTGTCCGGTCACTGAGGCAGTGCTCAGCATCGCCCAGACCTTCCTGGGGAGCGTGAAAAGCCGAACATTGGCTGTTGGCCGAGGTGAGGCTTGTAGAAGGTTTGGTAACAGATGTGCATGAGAGCTGCCATGCCTGGGCATTCACATGTCAAGTTCTAGAGAAAGGCCAACCCTCGAAGTCAACACGTCACTGTCGGCTGCGGCATAGGTTAAATGAGCTGGTCTGAGTGCCCGTGCCTAGTCCAGAGCCTGGAGGGGAGCAGACACTAGCGATGATTAACCTCCTTCCATAGTAGGTCCCCCATCAATGCTGAGTGAATGAGATCGTGGGGACAAAACGGAAAGAACATTCCAGGTTGTGGAAGGAGCTGGTGGGAAGCAAACAGCTGAGGCAACCATGTGCATGCATGCATGTGTGTGCACACTGCAGAGGGGTCAAGGGGGCCGTAGGTGGGACGCACCTGCCTGCAGTGTCTTCCTTTCCCAGGTCCCGGCTCCTGCACCGACGCGCAGCTGCGTGCTCTGCAGTTCATCGCGGACTCGGAGGAGGTGGTCTTGGCTTCCAACAGCTCCTGGTTCCCTCTGGGGGAGAGTTTGCTGGCGGCCACGGGCATCCGGCTGAGCAACGAGGAGCTTGGCCTGCCCCCCGGCTCCCCACCCCGGGAGGCCTTCTCCCAGCAGTTTCTGGGCGGCAGCGAGGACGCCCTTCGCCTGGCAGCGCAGTCCAGTGAGTGATGCGCTCGGTTTCTTGTTCCATCTCTTGGGGGAGCAGGAGCTGGAGTGGGCTTTGCGGCCTCGGTTTCCCCAGGCCAGTGGGTTCCTGGGAATGCAGAGGCGGTGGTTGTGAGGTGCCCTTCCAAGCCGGATGTGCATACTCTCCAAGATGCTCCCACACCCTCCAGCGCCAGCCGCAGGCCCCGTGAAGCCAAGCGCTCTTGCTAAAGGTGAGGGGCTCCAGCCCCCCTACTCAGGCTCCCCTCCTAGCCAGCTCCAAAGCCCCCTCCGTTTCTAAGAATCTAGGAGCACCCCACGGGGGAAGGAGAGGCACCCTCATCACCGAAACATTACGGGTATCGGCTCCTTCCCCTATGAGCCCCTCGGACCCTGCCGGTGACTCCAAACCCACGCCCGTGACCTGCCTGTGACCGAGAGAAGCTCAGAGCATCCATAGTGCTCTCGCCCCTGGCAACAGCTCAGGGCTCCCCGACACTCCCCCTGGCCTGGCCAGGCACGTGCTGTGCTCGGTGGACAGCTAAGTCTTGCATCTGACCCCCAGCGGCTCTGTGAGAATGACGCTGCCATCACCATCTGCGATGTTCTCAAATGCGGAGACCGAGGTTAAGCCACAGGCCCAGGTTCCCCCATGAATAACCAGCAGAGCCCGGATGTGCAGCAGCGGGTCCGGCCCTGAGCCTCTTGCCCCGCCAGCCGGTCCCCAGGCAGCCCTGTCTCATCCCAGAGCCTCTGCTCGCCCTCCACCCCCTGCAGCCGGCTCGGTGGGGTCCCCTGCCCCTCCCCGCTCTCTCACTGACTCCATGCCATCCTCAGTGGGACAAAAGGTTCCCGTCTCCAAGCCTCTCCTAAGCCCCCATCTCTGGTCATATTACTCAGCTGACGCCCTGTCTGGGGTTTTCTGGGCTTGGGTCACACAAAGTGGTCACCCCGACACCATCCAAGCCTCTGAGGACAGAGCGCACCCACTCCTGCCTGCCCAGCTGGGCTGCCTGCTGCCTCAGTTCTCCTGATCCCACAGGAGGTGAGAACCTCCCACGGACCGTCTGTTTCCTGCTCCCCCGCCCCTGCCCTCTCCTTCGGAGGACCAGGCACAGGTCTCCTCTTACTCTTCCTTCGATCCCAGGCCTGGAACACTGCCTGGCAGATGGCAGGAGCCCTGTTAGTGCTGGTTCACCATCCTTCCTGCTTCTACCCCTCCTCCTTCCTCTTCCGTGCCCTCCCGCCCCCAAGCCCTGCACTTCCTTTCTCTGTTCCTCAGAGGCGGAGGTGGGAGGACTCCTGCTTTGGGCAAGAAGCCAGTCATTTAGGGTTTTGTGTGTGGCTCGGGATCTGACGCAATGAAAGAGTGGAGGAGTGGGATTTCGCCTGGAGCTGGGACCACTCTGGGCAGGGAGGGAAGTGGAGGCAGGGGCACGGAAGCTGTTGGTGCCACAGGGATCTGTTCCTTGAATGGCAATGATGCCATTTTCTCCAGAAGTCGGGCTAAGGGGGATCCCCTCCATGCAGCACACGCTCTGCAGCTTCATTCTCATGTCTGGTGCTCAGATAGAGGAAGTGTCCCCGGGAAGGGGCAGGGCTGCTCATTCCCCTGAATCCCTCCGGATGAGGAGAGGCGGCTGGCCTGCTGCAGAGGGGAGGGAGCTCTGTGTGTCAGTGCGTGTGTGTCTGTGTGTGTGTGGTGTGTATGTGTGTGCAGACCTCC